GAGATGCTGCAGCTGCTGACGGCCTCCCCTTTTTCAGCTCTGCCAAGACGGCCGCTTTTCATCTAGTGATTTTGATTAGCTTCCCACATCTTACAGAATCACTAGCTTCCTTAGACCCACGGGCTACATTTGGGTTTAATGCCCTTTCTCAAGGAACCACGTTTTCTCACTTAGATTTAGCAAATAAACGTGGCAGCCCTACACTTCGTGCCATCAGTTGGGCTTGTCCTGTGCCAAGACAGGTGCCTGGGATCGATGCCTTACTGTCCCCTGGCCCCGGCCCTCGTTAGCCTCCAGGCTCCTGCTCAGTGGCCACCTCACCCAGGAAGCCGTGTGGCGGGTCCCCAGACATGACTCTAATCCCGACATCAAAAGGTAACCACCTGAGGGCAGCCTGGCCTGCCCATGGCCACAGAGCTGAGCTGTGGAACTGGGACTGCACCCCAGCTCCCCAGACATCTCCCAGAATCAGTCTGTCAGCAGCCGCCCAGAACGCAACTGTGACTGGTGTGTTCCAGGCCACCACGCCTCAGAAAGGCCTGGTATGTCGAATATGCTAGGGTTGTTCTTCCTTCTTCCCTCTCCCCCTAGCAACACATGCTTGCTCAGAATGATTCCAGTTGTAAAGGGGTATATTTTTGTAGTTGTTATGAGGGGAACCTATTGAAACTACCATTCTGGAAATCTGCTCTGTGTTCAAGGCTCCAACGGGAAAATAATAAGCTGGCACGTGGAGCAGCTGAGCCCTGCCCCTTCCTGTCTGCCCTGCGCTGCAGACAGGTGTCTGTGTGGGAAGCTGGTCACCCTTGTCAGAGTTTCCTGCATGTCTTGCTTCTGTCTGCCAGCGGGGGCCAGGTCACCCCACAAGGCAGACGTGGGGAGTAGCTGGTGTCTACACAGACGAGCAAGGGGAGGGAGGCCGGAGGGAGCAGACATCGTCCTGGGCAAAGCGACCAGGCGGCTTTGGCTCTGGGTATTGGGAAGAGATTTAGATGGAGAGCAGGCGACTGTGATTAACCCTGGCTAGGACCCCAGTCCAGGAGGACCAGGAGGAGAGAAGCCCACTGTCTAGAGGGAGGGCAAGCCCACTGCAACGAGAAGTTCAGGATGGGGCTTAGACCCACAAGGTCTGCATCCCAGCTCTACCACCTACTGGCTGTATGACCTTAACCTGCTCAGCCTGAGTTGTATCATCTGGAAAATGAGGCTAAAAAAGACAACACTTACAGCAGGGCTGCTGCGCTTGGTAAGCAGGAAGCTCTCGAAAAACAGTCACTATGGTTATTTGCCTGGAGTCAGGAAGTCCTAAATCCTACACGCAGCTCTGCCACCTTGGACAAGCGTTCACCTCTCCGATTCTCAGCTGTCTACTTTGCTGGGCTGTTCTGGAGTCTGAGAGAACACGCACAGAGATTCCAGCCCACAGCCAGGCACGTGGTGAGTGCTCCAGTGCTGCAATTCAGGAAGGAGCATGAAGTAACTCTGCCCTGTCAATAAGGTTCTGAGCACCAGGCTGGGGGTTACAGGCAGGGAGGGCCTTCCCACGACTTTGGACTGGGGCCAAGCGTACAGGTAGGGATTAAACTGGACCAGCAGGTAAGGGCAGGGGGAGGAGAGGACGGGAGTCAGCCTCTGGCTCCTCTCCTGCCCGAGAGGCTTCCTGCTGTGGAAGCTGGATCCAGAAACCAGGACGTTTTTATGCGCAGGGGAAACTCCTGTCTGGGAAGTCGGGACGATTGGCAAGGCTGAGAGCCTCAGCTACGCCCCATCCGGTCTTTGCTGCTGGGAAAAGATTTCCTTTCACCTTGTCAAGGAGAGGGGTCCACACCCACGGTTCCCTGGCAGTCTGGGTTCACAGTGCAATGTTTCCAGCTGGAACCAGGAAGGTCATGCCCCAGGTGCACTGAGGATAAGGTCCTATCCCCACCTGCTCTCCTTTTCAGAAACTCAGCCCCGTGCAGGAGAAAGAGAGAACTGGGTTCAAACAGCCAGTGAACCAAGTCAGTGCTGTAAGCACTCGGAGCCCAGGCCGTGCCATGGGGCCAACTGGACACGGGGATGAGTGGATGGTAGTGAGGACAGGCGGCAGGTTCCCCGAGGGGCGTCCCGTCTCACCACCTACCATCTCTACGAAGCAGTCTGCCGCGGGGAGCGCTGGCTGTGCACGAGAGAGCAGAAAGGTTGCAAGGAGTCGGAGTTGATGGAGAAGTCAGACTGGGACGTTTAACTTCTAGGAATCTTTCTTCTCCAGGGGTTTCGACTCTGGAGAAAGCTCCAAACGCTGCTGAACCACTCATAACTAGGGCAGGCCGCCCGCACCGTGAGAGGGGCGCCCGGGGCCTCACACGCAGGGGTCACCCACGGTTCTCAGGGCGCCCTCCCCAGGAAAGTGTCTACCCAGCCTTCAGGTCTCGGGCTTAACCATCTCTTCCTCGAAGCAGCTTTCTCTTACCGTCACACTGCTCCCCTTTCCTCCACCGTCCCTTCCACCCAGGACATCACACGCACGGCCGTGTAGCTCACTGCTCACTGGCCCCCCTGACAGACTGCGCGCCGCACGCGGGCAGGAGCCGCGACCGTCTGGACTCCTCCCGGGCCAGCGCTCAGCCCACAGCCCTGCTCCCAGATCACGCGTCTCCTTGAACAGGGTGGCGTGGCCATCTGCCTTCCGCAGCCTCGGCCGACAGGAAGAAGCAACAGTTTAAAGTGCAAGAAGGGACTCTTTTAACTCAAAAAGCCAAAATTACATGTATAATGCGAGTGGAAAAGGAAAGGGGGGAAAAGACAAGACTCGTATTCAGAACTAGCAGAGAACCGACTCTGGGTCTTACCAGCAAAGAGCCCACTCACCTCAGGGCCCTGGGGTCTGAAACTGCTGCAGCCCAGCAGAGAACAGAGTCCAAACGGCCATTTGAGATCTATATTCAAGCGACTATAATAATTTGGAATCTGCACCTGAACCTCAATCATGACTTCATGTCCCCACCACGCACTCTGTAGAAATAACAATCCATTTAAGGAAGTTTCCCAATAAAATTAGTTTTTTTACGTTTTAGTACTTAAGTTATAGTTGGTAGGAAAATTCTTTTCATCGGAGCTGCTCTTTCTCCAACTGATGGCGTCACAATTCTACACAAACCTCT